TCTTTTTAATAGGGTACACCCAACATCTCCTGGAGTAGTCATCAATAAATGAGACAAAGTATTTTGCTCCGCCAAGGGATGTAACCGGTGCTTGCCATACATCAGAGTGAACCAATTCTAGAACACTTTTTCCTCTAGAATTTGATGTGTTGAATTTCAACCGGTGCTGTTTGCTTGTTATACAATGCTCACACAAAGGAAGTAATACATTTGTTAAGCCTGGAAGTAGCTTTTGCTCCACAAGGACTTTCATTCCTTGTTCTGACATGTGTCTAAGTTTCTGATGCCATAGCATTGTCGAATCTGAACTACATGAGGCAACATAGGCTTCTGCTTCTACCAAAGTCTCTCCCTTCAGCATGTATAAGTTTGCAGCTATCTTTTCATCTTTCAGCACCATAAGCGCTCCACGGATCACCTTCATGATTCCTTTTCGTGTTTCAATCTTGCTTGCATTATTATCCAACAATCCGTAGGATAATAAATTTTTCTTCAGGCCTTTCACGTGCCGCACATCTCGAACAACTTTAATTGTTCCATCATACATCTTCAATTTGATGGTTCCCACGCCAATGATCTCTAAGGCATGATCATTGCAACTATACACAGATCCTCCTGAGACAGGTTCATAATGATGTAACCATTCTCTTCTTGAGGTCATGTGATATGTTGCTCCTTAATCAATGAGCCATATATCTGTATATTTCTTTCTACCTTCCACGGTGGTTGACGCTTCACAGCATAGAGCATCTCCATCATCTGAAGTGTTTGCGGTATTGCCTTGTGGATTGGAGTTTTTATTGAGACTCCAACAATCCTTCTTCAAGTGACCATTCTTTCCACGGTGGTAGCACTTTAAATTCTTCTTGCTCCTTGACTTCGATCTACCATGTTTATGACTGTTGCTTTGGCCACGTTCCGTTGATCTCCCTCTCATCGTTGTCAATGCTTCTGCTTGTTGCAGATTTACTTGTCTGTCTTCCTTGTTCTTGCGCCGATTTTCTTCTTGTAGAACACAGCTACAACGTCATCGAAGACTAGACTGGTGACATTACTATTTGTCAAGTTGATGATGAGTTGATCATACGAATCCGGTAGACTTTGAAGTAGAAGTTCAACACATTCTTGTTCTCCTATTTTACAGCTTAAGGATGTAAGCTAAGAAAATAAGGTGTTTAGTGTATTTAAGTGCTCCGCCACTGAAGTAGATTCTGACATCCGGAGAGTGTACAATTTCCTCTTAAGGAAAATTTTATTTTGCAACGATGTGGCCTCGTACAATTTGGTGAGATGATCTCATATATCCTTAGCTATCTTCTTCTCCTCGATGCTTGACAATACTTCATCTGCTAATGCTAGATGAAAGCTTGCCATAGCATTCCCGTCCATTTCAATCCATTTGTTGTCATCTGTGAAATCCACCGGCCTTTCATTGATAGCTGCTAGACAACCGTCTTTCCTCATGATGACCTTCATCTTCAATTTCCACAATGAGAAATTTCTCCCATTGAACTTTTCAATATCAAATTTCGTTGCCATAGATTCTATTTCGGATAGCTCCCACTATTTCACTATCGTGAATAGTTCTCTAGAACTGTCAAAGAATGAGTAATACATTCTTACTTTCTTATGTTGGAGGATCCACCTTTTGGTGGCAACCAAAAAGACAACAAGCATATATTACACACTCAAATCTGGCTCGGATACCAATTGTTGCGAAAGACGGCTATCAGATAGAGCAAAATCGCAACTGATAATTTGAGAAAATAAAAATGAAGATAAAAGAGACACAAAATTTACGTGGAAAACCCCTGAATAATATAGGGTAAAAACTACGGGCAACGGTAGAAGAATTTCACTATGAGAAAATAGGAATTACAACTTCTCTCGATCGACCAAGGAGAAAGCAATGATAATTCTCTCTTGATAAAAAAGAGAAAACAACTCTCAAGAAACTCTCTAAATTCTCTCTAGTATTGAAAGAAAGATAGAATGCTTTGGGATGGTTTTGAAGCTAAATGGGATAGGGTATTTATAGCTAAATCTTAAGGACTTAATCTTGTAAATACCCTAAAGTTTAATGATTAAAATGTGTAATTTTATCATTTATTATTTCAACAATTTGGTGCCTAACTTGGACCAATTTTTAGCAGCCCAAAGCAGCCCCATATGCTGCTAGCTGCCCATGCATTGACAATTCAACAATTAATACGGGGTATTAAAAAATTATTTTGTAAAGTCAGGTGAGTTGAATAATGTACGTGGAAACTCAATCGGAATTCTTGACGTTTTTAAAGTTGGCTGGATCACCTGACGTCTTTGACACCTATACAATATTTAACTATCAATCTAGCTTATATGGTGATCAAAATAAGTGATTTTATCCCCCCCCAAAAAAAGAGAGTCTTCAGCCGAGAGAGAACTAAAGGTGGGTGACGGGTTTCGACTGCTAAAAAAATTGAGTCTCAAGCCATTAAAATGGAAGGGGACAGAGTAAAGACGCTTAGGTGATGAGGTTAACTACAACAAAGATGAAGTTTGTTGGCTGAACTTGAAGATATTAGGCGTTTCGGTCGACTTTCCAAAGACAACAAGTAGGGGTATTTAAATTTAACCATTATTGTTAACCGTAATTGTTAACTAATATAATCGTTATATTTTACAGATTAATTAACTAAACTGTTTAAATTTAACGATTTCGGTTAATCAAATCGCTAAAAGTATCGGTTAACAGTTACAATTACGGTTATAAAATTTGATAAATGGTTAACTATTGGTTAACCTTCAATAAATTATAATTAATTAGTTATATTTTTTTAAAGAATTAAATTAGAAATAAAATTAAATCAAAATGGTTTCTCTTATATTTTTTAGTTATCATGGTTATCTTATATAAGAGCACACTAAATTAAATACAAATGGAAAAAATTGATTTTAAATTGTAAAATATAAATATACACGTAAGATTTTAAATAGGAAAAAGAAAACCTCTATATACCTCATAATATATATTTCTATAAAACTAAAATGCATTTACAAATAAATAAGATTTCTACAAATATATGTTCGATAATCGTAAATTTTATGAAATTTTAAGATTTTCATATTGTGTTGTGTTTGGAAAAAAAAAATTATAATTGAATACTGTAGCCAAACTGTTAAGGTTAGGTTATGGTTAATTAAATTTAATAACCGTTATAATAATTAACCAACCGATTAGATTAAACAATACAATTAACCGATTATGAACACCTGTAACACTAAATGTTCCGGCTGACTTTCAACGTGCACTACAACATCTACATTAGATCAAAAAATAATTTCGATAACAACCTATATATCAGATTTTGTTTTACCGCGCTATCTAACCATTTTTGCCAAATTACAAAATAAGAGTACATCTATTTAAATTTATAACTGTAACTGGTATTGCTATTGTTGTATTAACATTTTACTGAAAAGTATATATCCTTTTCTTTTTTAAATTTAAATCTATAAAATGAATATTCTCCTTAAATGATTTTTAATACCTTAAATGAGTAAATGGATTTTTTTTATTAATTTGAGATGAATATAAGATAGTATATATTTAAAGATAACTTTGAATAATTTGATATTGAATGCTAACACTTCTATTATTTCTAATATTCAAACATGAGACTTTAATAAACAACAATAATTTTTTTATTATCGAAATCGTTTGGTTGGGGCAAGAAAATATAACTTAAAAGCATTAGAAAGGGACCGTAGAAAGGGACCGCATGACTTGTGGTTGATTTGGATAGGTGGTGAACTGGTGAGGAATCTGTGAATGTTCTCTGAAGCGGTAGAGGTAACCTATTCCCTTTTCGTTTTCCAACTCCAAATTTAACAGTCTGGTTCCATCATATTAAAGCCTGTTTTTTTTTACCTATAATCGAGGTATATTTATATTCTCATTAAATCTTTTTTTTCATAGTTTAACAAATTTATAAAACTAGTTTTAAAAATAATATGTAATAATATAAAACTTAAATCTTGATATTTATAATTATTTCATATTCTCCTTTCTAAAAGAAAAAAAGAAGAAACATTTTGCTCTCACGTTTCCTATGATAATGGCAGCTGTTAAGTTCCAGTTTTCACACCGTAAAAAGGTCAATAAAATCACAAGTTTCACTCTCATGATTTTCATAAAACGAAACCATTTTGACTTATTTCGAAGCAAGACTTTCGTGATACCAATCCCATTTATCGTTCATATGGAAATAAATACATACACATACATAAATATATATTAAACAAAAATACACAGATAAGGCGTTAGATTTTTTTTTAAAGTGTATTATAGTGGTTTTTTTTCTTCCGATTAGTGATCTTTTTATATTGATAATTGAAGATAATCTGACGACTTCTGAAAAAATGGTTGAACAACACGACGTCTTTCAATCTTTATGTATATAAAAGATGTCGTGTCATCCGACTGTCTTCCCAAAAGATATCATGTCGTCCTATCTTCTTATCTGACAATATTATAAAAAAAACACGTCACTTAAAAAAATAAAGTCCAAATCATCACTTAAAAATAAACTCCAAAGATCATTATCTTAGAAAAAAAATATTCCAGTGCAGTAGTTGGTTTATTTTACCATACATATTCATTACGCCAGTGTAAAAAATAACGCATGAAAGCTACAATAACTAACGTGTTTTAGAAGAGGAACTAAATGCTATATATTGTTTATGATAAATGAATAATTATCAAATATATAATTATTAATTTAAATATAAAAAATACATAACTAATCTAAATACCAATATGTTAATCATATATATATATATATTTAAAAACCACAATTTAATTAAGTTATGTAATTTAATTCGCGACATATAGAGTAAAAATGGAAGTCATTGGATTGCATGGAATGATCCATCTGCAATTAATTTTACTCAAAACTAAAAAAATATGATTAAAAAAATAAACTAGTGAGTGTTGCTAAAGAAACACCCAAGGTTAATTACATTTTGTTAATACTAAGAGATCCCTTTAACTTGTTCAGAATTCTCGATAAAACTTGAAATAAAATTAGGGTAATTAAATAAGAAAAAAAGATTTTAGAAAATTGAAGACAATTCCATCATCTGATTCATGTCTTCTACTTGACCTGCAGTGCTCTCATCCAAAAGCCACTTCTCCAGAAATGATAATGGAGGATTATCATTATCATTATTGAGATTTTTCTGATGACCAACTTTTTGCTTCCTCTCTGGGTTCAACTTTTCACCATTTTCAGAATCTTGAAAAGTAGTCTTTGAAGTAGATTTATCCACTAATGCGACATTGTTTGTGTTCTCGAACGATAGAATCGATTCCAACTGATCATCTCCACAAGAGAGCAAATCACAGTTCGCAGAAGTACTCCCGATACTGTTGTCGTTGATCTTCGGTGTCGATCTCATCCAACCTTGAAGAAGACGACAAATATTCTCGGTGCTTGAAGCATATGAAGAAGAAGAGCTTTGGTTTAGCTTAACATTACTCGAACCAGCTCGAGTACTGTCGTCGAATATTTCGTAAACGATCTCATCGGTAGCTGCCATGGAAGAAAACTCCAAAGCTGACTGAAACTTCCTTAGCTTCTTCTTCAAGTGAGTGTTCCAGTGGTTCTTTATGTCATTGTCTGTTCTTTGCGGTAAATATGATGCTATGGCTGCCCATCTATAACCAAAACAAACATATTATTTCAAGGAAAAATGATCAAAGACAAAATCATGAGGGAAAAAATGGAGGAAAAGATTGAGGATTACTTGTTACCCAGTAATGCCTGCAAATGAACAATCATCCCTTCTTCATGAGTAGTGAAGTTGCCTCTTTTGATTCCCGGTCTGAGATAATTAGACCATCTAAGCCTGCAACTTTTGCTGCATCTCAATAACCCTTTTTTCCCCGAACAAAAATGGATTTGGATCAGCTAAAAACCCTATGAAATTATGAAACATATGAAGTGAAAGTATATACCAGTATTAGTGGGGACTGATCTCCAATTTCCAGGACCATGTTCTTGAACGTAAGAGACGAGGATGATATCTTCTTCAGGAGTCCATGGACCTTTCTTGATACCTACTTTATCACAGCATGGTGGTCTTCCCATGGCTTCCCTTTCCTCCTTTTTCTCTCTGTCTTTCACTTATGGAGCTTTCAAATTGTGGCCATAACCATGTGAGTGGCATATATAAAGTAGGGGGAGATAGTTAGAGCATAAATGAGATATTTGTATTCCTAAATTACAATCAACCATAATATACGATGATTATAAGACAAAATTTGTTTAAACTATTTCTTAACCATCAACAATGTACGATTGTTCAAATTTCAAATTTTGAAAGAGAATAATACTCTCATTTATCACTAAATCACTTAATAAATCTGAAAAAATATAAAGTATTATTTAAATATATATATATATATATATTGTACGTCATATATTTGAGATGTTACTCAAATCTATAAAAGGTAAATGCATATAGAACTCTCTCACACCTAATTTTGATATATTGGTGATTTGTTTTATATATTTGTAATATATTCTGGTTAATTTTCATTATGGCATTGAAATCTATATTATAGTTTGATTAGTTCTCTTAATAAAATATTATTGCAGCAACAAAATCATGAATTACCGTAACATAAATATTGGGTTTAAAGAGCAGACAAGCAAAGTTGTGGGTAATTGAGTTTCCAACCGACTTCTTTGTACATATTTATGGGAAATTACTTTATGTCTTATGATGGGGGCTTAAATAAACTGTAATAAATAATAATAATAATAATATTTAACTTATCCATCTACCACATGGAAGATTTAATTGTAATAAATTTAATTGTGTACGGAATAATGATGATTGGGCAGAGCCTAATATGGTTTATGTTTTTTCCCCAATTCAGATTAAATTCAGTTAGTTGATTCCATATTTTTAAATTTAATATAAACATTATTATTTAAACAATAAAACTAGATTATGGACTCATTGCCATCCAACTTTTATAAAGAAAAATATAATTACAATATGATAGTTATTTGTTTGCTTGTCCATATATGACTAACTCCTTTATTTATTTGCTTACCTTAACTACTTATATGACCAACTCATTCATTTGCTTGTCCATATGATTATATAAACTATAGAATTTCTATTTTTTAATTTTTTAAATTTATGTTTTCCATCGTTTTCGATTTTACTATTGTGTTTGCCATATATTAAAAGCTAATTAAGGTGATTTGAAAAAAAAGCATCAACTAAGTTTATAAAATGAAATAAATAAGTTTATTTGTATACAAATAAAAGTCGGATCAAACTCAAGACAATTTCATCTTCTTTATTATCACCTCAAGTTGTTGATGTGATATATATTTAGTCATTATTTTATTAACTTGAGATGATTATAAAATAGTAGTTATTCGAAAAAATCTCAATTGTTTGACAATAAATGCTCATACACTATTATAGATGTTGTGCTCGAATATGAAATCTCAAGAGATAACAATCATCCCTCTAACTATTGAGGTTGATTGGTTTGTACATGTTGAGCTACTTTAAACACGTTATTTTGGAAATTTTATATTGGAAAACTTATTTTTAAAATCCTGGTTACAAACACTTTAAATTTAAAATATAATATTAAAAATAAAGTATATATTATTTAACCCATATGTAAATAACTATAATACTAACATATTTAAAATTATTTTTTAATTTTTTGATATTTTATAATGAATTATTTATGCTTAAAAATTATAGTTTTTTACTTTATTCATTTATATCAATCGAAATTTTATAGGAATGTTACTTTTAAACAGAAAATATATTCAATACACTAAAATTTAAGACTTTTTTGAAGAAATGCCATTATTCATTTGCTTATCTTTGTTAATAAAAATCAAAATAATATAAAAGTAAATTCATAAGGAGAACATTTTCTTCTAAGTGGAGTTACTCTAACAAAATAATAAGAAAATTATATAAAATAAAGATAGAAACTTGTAACGAAAAACCTTATATAATATAAGATAAAAACTTTACTATATTCATAAGAAAATAAATAGATGTCAACAATTTCTAAAATAGATGATTAAGACACCTAAATGGATACAAAAGCAATGTTAAGACATATTCCAGATGAAAAACATCTAAATGGATACCAAGAAAAGAAAATGGATTTTTTATGCTCATATCCTCCACAAATTCAACCAAAATATTGCTAATGCAATAAATAAAAGAGAAAGACAAAAAATGCCTTATAATATACGATTTTAACCAACTTTTTTTGGATTTGCCAAAATGACCAACTAAATCGCAATGCGATCGATAATTCGCAACGCGATCTTCGGTATCGCAAATCAGTTTCCAGATTCGCAACGCGATTCTGACTATCGCATTGCGATTTTCCAAATTCGCGTTGCGACTTTCCTAATTCGCAATGCGAATACGTAAATCGCAACACGAATCTGACTATCGCAACGAGATTCTGACTATCGCAACGCGATTCTGACTATCGCAATACTGAATTTCAAATTCGCAACTCGATTTCTGAATTCGCAACAGGTTTTAGTTTCGCAACACAAATGTTTTGGGTATATAACTACGCAGCAGCAGCAACTCATAACCTAAATCCCTAAATCGCAACTCATTCCATCTCCATCTATCACTCTCTCCGGCGACATCCGTTCCTATATCCAACGACATCCTTCCCCATCCGGCAACATGTTTTAGTTTCGCAGCTCGTTTGTTTAGTAAATTAATTTACAATAATGAAATCATCTAATGTTGATCATGTTTGGATATATTTGTGTTTTGGAGGATCATGGGAGAATGTGTAAGGAAAGTGGTCATACAAGGTTGACATGTGGATCACCAGTGCCATCACAATCATCTTTTCCTCTACCAAAATATGGATCCTTATCAAAATCCCAATCACAACCGGCTTCACCTTTTGGGACTGTTAACTTAGGTGATTTTTAAATGCAAATGTTGTATTATGTGTATATTATGTGTGAACTTTTAACATTTTCAGTTAGACATGTATTAGTAACTTGAGTTTGAACATTGCTATGATATGTTCAGTTGTTATCACTTATTAGACATTCATTTGACTATCGCAACACGGAAATTGCAATGCGAATATGACTATCGCAACACGGAAATGACTATCGCAACGCGGAATTGACTATCGCAACGAGAGAATCGTAATGCGAAATGAAAATCGCAACGAGAGAATCGCAATGCGAAAATGAAAATCGCAACGCGAATTTAGTTTCGCGTTGCGATTTTCATTTTCGCATTGCGATTCTCTCGTTGCGATTTTCATTTCGCATTGCGATTCTCTCGTTGTGATAGTCATTTCCGCATTGCGATAGTCTGTTTTGCATTCAACATAATGCAGATTGAAATCAACAAATCAACAATTACATTTCAATCAATTAAACAAGCACAAATAATAATTATGTACACATCAATTAAACAAATCAACATTTACAAATCAATTAAACAATCAAAAAATAATAATAAGAATTATTTCCTCATCAATTATTGAATCAACTTTTGCACCCATACATCCATTTCACGCAGCTCACTTCAGGATTAACCTGCAGAAACCAAACATTGAATCAACAACACTTTCTACACATCTAAAACCTACAAACAACAAATTATTGAATTCTAGCTACTTAACCAAACATTTTCAAACCAAAAAGAGTATATATGTTTAACAACACTTGCATTTGACTTACAAATTGTTTATGGACACTTTCATGACGTGGATACAGGTAGGCAGCGTATCGCATATATCGTTCTAGCCATAAAATGCCGAAACCACAAGCCTACAACACCTCTATCTCTATCAGTGGGAGGTAGAAACTGTGTACTTCCTATCGTCAAACGCTCCAAGCACATGCATACGAGAGGACCACAATCCCCTCTGGCTTCCTTCGTTTGTTGTGGCGCGGTCTCGTCTCTGATAACTGTAACATTGAACTTCTTTGGCTTCTTGTTTCCAGAATTAGTCCAATAATTAATTAAATCCAAGAATTTAGCCAAATGAGAGCTCCATCCCTTAATAATATCTCTCAAATCAGACAATGATATGTAATTTATCATGCTGTCATATACTATTGTCTTTAGGGATGGGAGCTTAAGCTCGACGAGAAGCCAATGAGTACGTTCCAAAACAGGGATAAACACCTGCATTGAAATGTAATAATTCAAATTGCGCACTTATTTATGAACACCTTTAAAATATTTAAACAAATAAATACTAACCTTATCGACCTCCCACCATGCAGGATAAAGTTTAGCTTGTCCATTAGGCAACACATATGATTCCTGTCGTTGATTCTTCAAGTGAACTACGTGAAAAGCCGTCGGCATAATTATATATCGCATTTTTTTATATTTTTCTTTAATTTCCTAACAATTAGAAGACGTGTCACCCATGCATCAATATGTTGTTTTACAAAAAAATACATATATTAGTGAATTACATAAATTTTAAAAAAAATTAATCAAACTGAAATATAAGACTTACCACCCATCGAAATAGCCGTTGTCTTCAACCCCTAATAATATACCCCACCAAGACCGTTCAATCAACAAATGCATATCATTGTTGAGTTTGTATATGTCAGCGTAACACCCTTGGCTCCGCTCATGTTGATAAAAATCAACTGTAGTCTTAGCGCAAAGGGTATTATCCAGAATTGTTTTCGGTAGTTGTTTCCTCTCCACTTCATCTGCCGGAATGGTACTGGCCGGTAACTTATACGAAAGCCAACAGTCATCCATCATGCCTGGCACGTGAGGGGGCTTCTCAATAATTCAATATATTACGCCGTGTGAATCTGGCTCTAGAATGTTGGGAGGGACCTCTTCAACGATGACAGTGGCCTCTTGAACGGTGGGAGGGGACTCTTGAGGGATGATAGAGGCCTCTTGAACGATAAGGGAGGCCTCTTGAACGATGACATGTGAGTCGGGATTTTTCTTACGGATTCTTCGCACTATTGAGGTGAACGGAGACGTAATGGCACGTGCATGCCGTCTGATGCATGAACTCCGTCTTGCAAGAAAAACCCGACGTAGAGCATCCACCTTAGCAGGCCGCTAAAAATAAATTAATACATAAATCA